ATGCCCAAAGATCCCAAGAGGAGAATGGAGGAGAGGGGATTGCGGCATGGCCATCCCCCCTGAGGGGTGATTTCTCGCTTTCTGTCTCTCTGTCTCTGTCTGGTGAGCACACGCGCCCTATAGCGAAAAAAAACTCTCAAAAAAAAAGAAAAGTTCATGGGGGGGGCGGGGGGCAGCAGATAGCATGGTAGTTAAGGTGCTAGACTCCCACATGGCCAACCATGGTTCAATTCTTGGACCTGTTAGCTTGCTTTCTCTCTTTTTCTCTCTGTGTCTCATGAGCACACATGCCTTATAGCAAATTTAAAATAAGTAAAATTAAATAAGTAAATCTTTTTTAAAAAGTACACAAAGGTTTTTTTTTTTTTTTTGAGAGGTTTTTGCTACAGGGCGCGTGCGCTCGCCAGACAGACAGAGAGAGACAGTGAGACAGAAAGCAGGAAATCACCCCCCAGGGGGGATGGCCACGCCGCAATCCCTTCTCCTCCATTCTCCTCTCGGGATCTTGGGCACGCACGCACACGCGCCCGGCGTGAGTTCAAGCCACCGGGTCCGGGACTCGAACCGCGGTCGACTATGTGGGAGTCCAGCGACATAGCCATTACGCTAACTGCTGGTCCCCACAAAGGTTTTTTTTATTAAATGGGGAGAAATACTGTTGATATAACTTCACACTGAAAACTCAAAAAAGTTAAGGTTACGCTACATTTTCACCTATGAGGCATATATTCAAGGTGCCTGCTTTCTTTAGTTTTAACTCAGTTTCAAGCACCTCATTAGAAGTTCTACTTGCATGCACTATTTCATTTAATTTCACATTTGAGTAGTTACTATTAATATGTCCATTTTACAAGTGAAAAAAGGTAGGTTCCAAACTTGCTCCCAGGTCAATCAGACACTAGCCATGAGGAGGCAAATTTAAATTCAGGTCTGACTCCAAGCAAAAGCCTCTTAGCTCTCCTGCTACATAGCGCAGAAAAAGGAGCCCTCCTGAGACTTTCAGTCCAGAGCCCAGAGGTGGGGGACTCCGGAAGGAGACCCTCTGTGCCAAGGCCTCAGGCTCCCTCCCACCTGAATGCTGGCCTCTAAAGGTTGCCCCGGCTCAGCCTGGAGGTTCACCGCCCACCAAAGAGGCAAAGCATGCCAACATGTGAACAATGGTTCTCCCTCAGTAGTAAGATTATGAATGACCTCTTTTCCAGACTTTCAAACATTCTTCATGTTTTCACATAACCAGGTACTTATAAAGATAACAACGGGAAACCCTACCAAATAACTTTTAAAGTGTCCAGACAGATTCTGGAAGAAAACTTAGGCATCTTACATTTCTTCGTCTTCATCTTCTTCATCCACCCACACTGGCTTCTTCTGATGTGGAAAATTATCTTTTGCTTCATTCTCCACTTCTGAGTCACCTGAGTCGTGTACCTATGGAAGACAAAACACCCTCAAGCACTGAGTTTTTTCCTCTCCCAAGTGGCAGACATGCACGCCCTCCAGTTAGGTGACCTGTAGAATGCTTGCTTTGTGACCTGCTCATGAAATAATGGGATGGAATAGTACCAAGCAATTCCTGGCAGAAGCAGGAAACAGAAGAGAGAATGGCTCAGCGGGCTGGACAAGCAAGGCAGAAGGCAACAGTGAAGATGAAAGTCAACAAGCTAAAAGGAAAAGACCAAATGAGACAAGAACAAAAGGTAAATTGACAGATGATGAACTTTCCTAATACTTATCTATTTTAGACATAGCTCTTCTCCATTTTTCTAAACTGTTCTTGACAGGCTGCTTTCTGAAGAAACTTGAACCACACCATCAAACCTAAATCTAGGTCACAGGGTACCGTGCACTTTCACAAAACCACGAGACAGCAAAGTCCCAGTGATTTCTACCTGGTCTACTACTGGCTTAAGATCCTTCAAAGCCTTGCAAAGCCCGCCTTAGTATACTGTTCCTTTCCCTAACTACAAAACTGTCACAGTTTGCCATTTTCCCAGTATTAGTTCCCAATGTCAGAACTAAATCATGCTATTTCTCCCATAGCACCCCAAAGGAGGTTCTGCCACTGCTGTTACTTGTCAAGTCTTCACTCCTTTAACAAAGTGACTAAACAAGTCTTAGGCTTTCTGCAGCCACCATAACTAAGATTTCACAGGCCTCCTCTATACACATTAATCTCTTCTCTGGATCTTCTTTCTCCTCTTCAGCACTTGTCAAAGAAGTATCTGAAATGGGTCTATCCTCCATCTCTGCCACTAGTACATAAGCTCCAACAGAGCAGGGATTTTTGTTAATTTTGTACACTGCAGTGTCTCCTCTATTACCTAAATCAATACCTGGAACTTCCTATCTTGAAAGCAAAACCAGGTATAGCACAAACGATTATAACTGTGCAAAAATTATCAACCATGGAGAGTTTACCACTGCCAGGAAGAGCATGTGGCACTCAACAGATTCCCAACACAAGATTACTCTCAAAAGCCTTGATGTGTCATAATCATGTGGGGACATTTTCTTTTTTTAGAGAGCTTTTTTTTTTTTTTTTGAGAGATTTTTCACTGTAGGGCGCGTGCGCTGCCAGACAGACAGAGAGAGACATAGAGACAAAAAGCGAGAAATCACCCCCCAGGGGGGATGGTCATGCCGCAATCCCTTCTCCTCCATTCTCCTCTCGGGATCTTGGGCACGCACGCACACGCGCCTGGCGTGAGTGGCACGCACGCACACGCGCCTGGCGTGAGTTTTAAGCCACCGGGTCCGGGACACGAACTGCGGTGGACTACGTGGGAGTCCGGCGACATAGCCATTACGCTAACTGCTGGTTCCC